CAAAAGCATCAATCTTCATTCTGCCTTTCTGATGGTCCAACTTTCACAGCCATATCTTACAACTGGGAAAATCATGGCCTTGATAATATATATCTGTGTTGTTGTTGTGATTTACAGTGCTACCACTGTTCTAGGCCATAAACTAAATTTTGCAAACCACCTTGTTGCTGGGCCAGCTTTAGGCTCTGGCCAAGGGTGCCAAAGCTTAGGGGGCACCAATGCAGCCCCTTCTTCCAGAAACAAAGGCTATTCTAAAAATGCAAATCTTTGCATTGGCAGGAAGTGGTACCATCAGTCAGTGTGGCCTAGGGGCACCACATACCCTCGAGCCGGCACTGGCTGGGTTCACATACTGGGTTCATGCACTGTACTAGACCCAAATTAAATAAATAATGGTTTAGTATGAACCCAACCCAAGTGAGTTTCAGCCTGGCCAGTGATTAGCCGCCAAATTGTCAAAAACATTATGCTAATATATACAATGCCTGATGTATACATAAACATATAAATTATGTATTCTGTGTACAATAGGAATTGGTTGATATGAATTTAGCCTATTATGGGAAAGTGTGTATTTAGGAAAACAAAAAGTACCATGAAAAGCAGCACTTAGAAATATTATCTGAACGTTTCCATGGCACAGGGAGACTTCTCTATTCATGAGAATGGCCATTGGACAACCAGTCAATTCACAGGCATGAGTTTAGGGATGGGAAGGAGCACGTACATTTCAAGATGCAACAACTGACATTTTTGAGACCTCTTTGCAAGAGTTAAGGGGTCAAGCTCAGTCTGGGATCTGTTGGGAACTGGCTGCCGTTCTGAGTGGAAGTAGTCCTGGGTCAAGTCAACAGGCAAGATAAGTAAGGCCAGAGATGGTATGTGCTAAACTTGTGATCCAAAGCAGCAAATCAAGGAAGAGGAACTTATTCAGAGACCTCGTTGCAGGAGTATATTGCTCAGAACTAAACTTAGAGATTCAGAGATGGTTTTAGATCTGTAGAGACTTGGAGAGAGCAGTGGGCCTCTGCTGATGGACCATTCCAGTCATCTGAACCAATCAATTAGTCTGCTAGACTTGCAGGGGGAAAGGAGCATCGATTGAAGAGACAGAAACATGTCTACTTTGAGAAACATCTCACAGCCCGTGCCCTAAAACTGTTCATGAATGAAGCTTCTGTTTTGGGGTGAAGTCTTGTTTCTCTCCCATAATCCATAAATTCAAAGCACCCAGATCTTAAACCAGGAATATATAACCTGGTGCCCTCTGGAGGTTTTAAGCTTCATTTTCCATTCAGATATTAACTAGCAAGGGACTTATAGTCTAAAACATCTGGAAGATGATTTCACCGTCTTAAGCTATTGAAGAGACATGAGCAATATGAGAAACTATTATTACCTTGTGCTGGCAGGAATGTCCCAGAGATGGACATGGGACAAGACTTGGGGCAACTGATAATATTGACTATTTGTGAATATCACAAGGGAAGTCCTTTTGATACAACCACCAACCTTTTCTTTTTAACGCTTCTTTTGCAGCTCTTGCGGTCTATCCCAGTAGGAATTGGGCAGGTATATGGTTGCGATAACCCTTGGAGTGGTGGTATCATCATGCTGGCTCTTTTCATTTCATCCCCTCTCATCTTCAGTCATGCTGTGATTGGCTCAGCAATTGGAGTACCTGCAGGTAAAGCATCATATTATTCTGCCCAGCAACTTTCCCCAACCTGGAAGACCAAATGTTTTGGGCTATATCCAGAATTTTTACTGGCCATGTTGGTGGGGAGTTCTGAGAAAAAGATTTCAACAGTTCCAGTATCTCAAGAAGGCCAATATCTCAAGAGCTTCGTGTTGGGAAAGCTGTTCTATAGTGCCATGCATGAACCAAACTCTGGGATTATCTAGTATTTATTTATAAGATTTATTAGCAAAGGGTGGACAAACTTTGATGGCTGGAGATGACCCTTAACCTTTGAGTGTGTGGGCAGAGCATGTGGGCTAATCATCCAAACCAATCAAGACCAGAACCTTTTGGGATAAGGTATTTTCAGGAGAGTTTGGGGAGGTTTTTTTTTTTTAACTATGCTAATTTGGGAATTAATACTATTTTTGAGTATGTCCCTCTCAAGACAAGAAGGAACTATGCCACCAGGTTTCAGTAACTGTGATCAGAGGTAGCTCCAAGACCCTCCAAAGAGCAGTCTTCAAATAGGATCTGATTTTGTCAACTCCAAAAGTATCATATTCCCATCCAAGCATAAAACCAAAAAACAAACCGTCAAAATTCATAGTTGAAACCAGACAGAAACATCTGCATAATAATATACAAAGTCATTTGTAATCCAAGGTAAACAGGTGAGTCTCTTAGGGCCCACTTGAAAGCTTTTCATAATGCAACCTGGCCAAAAACCCACGAGGCATAGTGGTGAAGGTGCTAGACTAGGAGTGGGAAGACCCCAAGAAAGTTCCCTGGCTGACTCTGGGCCAGTCTTCTCTCTCAGCCCAACCTACCCCATAAGTTTGTTGTGGTGGTGAAAGAGTGAGAACTCTGGCCACCATCATGAACTCTGGAGGAAAAGATGGGATAGAAATCTAATACATAAATAAATTTCAGTTGGAACAGTAATACTCAAAATACCCTCTTTCTCATCCCTACACTGTATTTCTGTTGATGCAACCCAGGATTGCATTTGCTTCGTTTGCAGCAGCATTACCCTACTGGATCATGTTCATCCTGGGTTAAAGCTATAGGTTTAGGATAGGAGGACACCAGGAGATCTGGAGAACTTCTGTATTGCTCTATCCTCCAGGCCTCAAGCTCAGCAGGTTTTTCATCCATTTTATTTTGTAGCCCTGAGTCTGGCCTCTCCTTTGAACAAGATTTATGACGGCTTGTGGAATTACAACAGCTGCCTTTCCTGCATCGCCATAGGAGGAATGTTCTATGCCCTCACCTGGCAGACGTTTGGACTGGCAATAGCTTGTGGTAAGTAACCAGGCTCTTGCTGTTACTTACAGCACCAAAACAGGATCAGAGTATTTGGTCGAGTTCATACGACTTGCTAAACCCAGATGAATAAATACAATTGCTTTGTTCACCTCCACATCATGGTCCAACCAGTAGACCATATTCTAGTTCGGTGGGATGGCCTGTTGCACACCTCCCAGGTCACAACAGGAATGGCTGAACCTCAAACTACTGAACGTGATTTTAGCCTGGATGTGGTACGAACCCTGCCTTGGATTAGCTTTTCTGTCCCAACGGCCAAGCAGTTGGACCAAGACAAGACTTTAGCTGTCAGCCGGCCAAATCAAAGCACTCAAGTGGAGGGGAAAAGTTCAGGGAACAGAGGAACTTAATGGCTGTGCTTTAGCAAATCACTATTTTATTTTATTTTATTTATTTTATTTTTGTGGCTTAGCATACGGTCCAAACCCAGCAGCCCATTTGATGTTTACGGTTCAATGTCTTGTAGGAACCCACCCAAAATGGCTTAATTTGGCAATCAGGTTGTGGGAGAGCGATCGTTCTGTAATGCCATTGCACCTTGGGGCAAAGGTAACAGAAAAAACAGACCAGATCAGATGTAGCCATATGTGATCGGTTTGGTTCTGGCTCAATACAATGGATAAGCCATTGTTTACGGCTTCTTGGGATGTGAGCTCAGCCAACCATGGTCTAGCATGATGGACGGGCCTAACATAGACAGCTTGTTGTGTTGCAAATGCATTGGGAAAGTGCTTTCACAACCCATACCCAGAGGGGCATCCTCAGAGGAGGGTCAAAAAAGTCAAGATGGCAGCCGCACCTGTGCAGTCAAGCCCCACTCCTTTTTTGCGTGTGCTGAGGGCAAGACATGTAATAGGAGGGGGCATCGAGCATGTAATCAAGGTATCATCTTGACTATTTTAATCCCCCCTTACCCCCCCCCCCCACTGTAGAAGCCCTGCATGCACGTCTCTGATTTAAGCCTCCTTAAAAGGAATTAACAGATCAGAGTCTCTTTGACTCCCTAACCCCTTACTATTTCAGGGTCTCCTATGGCAAATAATAAGATTATTTTTTTTTTCTTTTTGCAGCCTTTTTTACCAGCTACGTGGGAGAAGCTATGGGCCGTATGTTTTCTGTGGTACGTTGCTGATAATCAAGGAACGAGGACTGATTTGTATCAATTTATTGTCATTTATTCTTTGCACCATCTCACTTTTGGGGGGGGGGGACTCAAGGTGATTTAAATGGAGGGGTCTGTCTTATTTTAACCTCACAGCAGCCCACCTGCGAGGTGTGTTTCACCAAGAATGATTGATGCGCCCAAAGTCACCCAGCCTAGCCGAGACGGAGCCTCAATCACTCCATTCCAAGTGCAGCATTTTAATCACCATCATTAGTCTTTCTCCTGTTAATCTTAATTCCCCCTTTGCAAGAAAAGACAAAACATTAATACAAATATATTGTCTTTGTTTTCGAAGGAGGCAGTTTCCCCTGCCTGTGGAACAGGAAGGGCACCATTTTACCCTCTGCAAAATGGCATTTTTGGTTGGATGACCCCATTCAGAAAATACAAACAGGAATTGAGGACAGAATCGAGAATGTGCTAAAACAGTATTTTTCAAACTGGGCCACTTCAAAAACCACCATGCTAAACTAACCTCTGAGACTCAGACCTTAAAGAGAAAGACTTCCTTTAAATTAAGGAAGAATAACTTAATTGATTCGTTAGCATCTGATTCACTAGCCTAACTTTCTAGCCAGGAACATCTAGGGAGGAGGGGGTCAAAAAAGTCAATATGGTAGCTGCAACCATGTGATCGAAGCCTTGGTCCTTTGCAATGTGCATTGTTACACACATAAAAAAGGAGCAGGGTTTTGGTCACACAACTGTGGCTGACATCTTGCCTTTTTTCACACACATACACCCTGTAAATGCCCCAGTTCCTAGCTGGTTCTATAACTTCCAAAGGGGTATGGGGCGTGTGTTACAAAAAAAGAAAATCTCTTCTCCTCCTTTCCCCAGTTCTGACATTATTTTCATATAATTCATATGAAACATATGAATTCATATAACCATATTATTGGTTCCCTACACTTTCTCCAATATAAAATGATGGGAAGATCAGTAAATCTTGATCTGACTCAGTAAATAGCCTTGGCTAGCTAAATGGGTTGCAAAAAGAATCATCGATAGTAATCGCTTTGCCAGCCAGGGATATTAAAGCTAGAATTCTCAACATCCTTCATTTTTACGCATGCTAAGTAGGACTTCTGGGAGCTGAAGTTCATCAACTTCTGTAGGCTGTTCTTGCGGTACAAAACGAAGGATGGAACGCTATTAAAATATAATGCAACGTCTCATGAGTATAGTAAGTCTGGGCTAGGGATAAGATAACATGAAATTGCATCAAGGCTCTGTAGTACAGCATCCTTTCCCCACAAATGTTTTGAGTAAGTCCCAGAGTAGGACAGTAGGTTCAGGTTTCTCCATAGAAGTTTATGTTCCAAATCATTCTTCATTTGATATAGTTGTCAATGCAGTAGATATCTTCCATTGTTGCTCTTGTTTAATTCCAAAAGTTGTGTAGCACTTCATAAGTTTACGACACATGTAAAAAAGGGGGCAGGCTTTGATCACATGGTTGTGGCCACCCTCTTGATTTTGTGCAACCTCCCAAAAAAACTTCTGAGATGTTGCTGGTCTTTTCCTTTCCAGTTTGGGATGCCAGTGGGGACATGGCCTTTCTGCTTATCATCGCTCACCTTCCTGCTCTTAGTAACCACCAATGAGGCCATCTTCAAACTGCCTCTCTCCAAAGTCACCTACCCAGAAGCCAACCGGGCATATTATTTGGCGAGGAAGAGATCGTGCCCTGAATCCACTTGTGACAAAGTGTAACAGACTAAATCAAAGGAAAGAGTTTATCTTCACAAGTAGGACCTTCCCGAGGAAGAACAGAACCGTAAACAACCACTTAGTTTTCAGTGGGCAGTTTGTCCTTCTGGGTTGTAGATATCTTCACTTGGATCAATAAGGTTCAACGTTCAGGACATTCTTCAGTCAGAAGTGAATGCAATATCTGATTCATCCGGAAAGGAACATAATATTTGTCAGACAAATAAGAGTTTAGACAGCGGGATTCAGCTCTTGAAGCAACATCTGATCCCATTGATTTTTAATCACATTAAAACATCTACAAGGACATTTGTTAACCAAAGCAGGAAGAGATGTTTCAGATGAGATCCAGACTTCATTATAGTTCGACCAGCAAAATCAATGGAGTTTAAGTTAGTGAATCTTTGATCCCACCGATTTCAGTGGGATTACATTAAATATGATGAAGTCTGGAAGATCCAAACCATTCTTTGTATAAAGAAGAGAAATTATTAGGTTTCCATTTACAAACTTAGCTGTTACCTGCAAACTATGACTATTTTATATGAAGTCTGATAAGATATGTTTACAGTATCCTCTAATTCCTAGCATTATAGAGTGTAGCGAGTAGCCATTGCTAGAGCAAAGTTTATATGAAGAAGGCTTTGGAGCCCTTGGTGCTCTCTAAGCTTGGTTTGCTTGCAGACATTTCATTACCCGACTAGGTAACATCATCAGTGCTAGTGAGTGTGGTGTTTGCTCCCTGTTTATATACAGTATCTTGCCCTGCCAGTATTGGTGGGGGTGTGGTTTTCTCCTTAGTAGTTCCTTGATTGGTGGATGAATAATAAAGACATAATGAAATGCCTGCAGGCAAAGAATCACGCACCAAGGACTCCACAGTTCAACCCTGAGTTACATATATTCTCTTCTATTGGAAGAAGGCTTTTCATATATCATATATCAATGTGTTCTCAATTTAAAAACCAAAAATGTATACATGGGGTAGCTGAACAGTGAAGACACAGTTAATCTAGACTATGTGATCATGAGTCAGCTCCTTTTCTAAGCAACATGAGAAATGCTTGGGCAGATTAGTGACCAGACAGGCAGTTCTCCTCCCAACTTCTTTTTGTATGCTGTCCCAAAAGGATAGATCGGATGAGAAGCTGACAGTGACAAGGCAGAACACTGATCAGATTGGGATACTCTTGTGTTTATCAGAGGAGTCTCTGCAAGTTGTGATCCTTGGCAGATCCCACCAAACTCTGACACCTGATGCTAGCCCTAATACCATCTCTCCAAACCATGATTTATAAATGAGCTTGAATCATGGTTTGAAGACCATGATTCATTTGGGGCATCTTAGCAAAGTAGAGTTGGGGAGAAGCATACAGAAAGTGAACAAGGGAAACTCAAGAAAAGCATGCTTTGGAGGTCCCAGTTTATGATATCCAACTCACTGGAGTCATTATATGAGCTAGGCAGCCTTGAATAATATTTATCAACCAACATGTATCTACTGTACTTTATTGTGTTACTACAAGTGTAATGAATGTGTTTTAGGTTTTTATTTTTTCTGGGTGTCAAATAAGCGATAGCAAAATGCATGAAGTGTAAAATGTTTCCTTCTTTTTCATGGACTGCTTTGTCCTTCACCCTTCTAGACCGTATGGTAATCAGCCAGCACCAATTCTGTCTTAAAAGCTGCTCCCTTGTTTTAGGCTCTGAGTTGTTTTAAACAGCTTTTCTTCTAGGGCAATACATCTAAGGGGCAGAAGCTAAATCAAAGTTGTTACACGTACACGAAAGATAGATCAAAGCTGGACTGTTAGCTACATCCCAATGCTTTGTCATAAGAGAAAGAAATAGGTAGAGTCAGATGCAAAGACTTTTTCAGCAGTGCAACACTGGGATTAATATAGCAGAGGTACATTATTGTAACCACTCTGAATAATGCTTTTTTCAGTCACGTTGTCATCCCTGGATGTGTCAAAGAAGAATAGCCTCTCAGCACAAAGCTGGCTTTACTGGATACTAGACAACCTGTGACCCATTGGGTCCTTGTTTCAGAGATATTTCCTTACCAGATCCCTCAATGCCTTCAACAATGGCAGAACTTCTAATGTACTGCCTCCCGTGAAAAAGTTCTTAAAAATTCAGGGAGATATTCAGAGATGTATCTGCCTTGGAAATTCCCCAGGTCATTCATATTGAGTTGTATAGCACAGTCAAACATCAGGAGCTGACCACAGGAAATGTTTTATGACATTTTGCATTATGTCGTAAAATGTTTATTATGTTTATGGCATAATATGTTTTATAAAATTTGCCAAATTTCAATTCCATGGGAGTCACGGGTCCCGGATTTTGGACGAATTCTGTAAGTTAGCCCATTTGAGGTACCTTGGTTCAAAAATTGTTGGGCTATGACACACTGTTTTGCCCAGTTAAAGGTTACAAATAAACAGACACAAGAGTTTTAGTAGTAAAGCTATGGCTGGGTTGGGGAATTCTGGGAATTGAAGTCCACACATCATAAAGTTGCTAAGGTTGAGAAACACTGATATAGATATGTCTATAGGATATGTCACAGTGGCATAGGGTTCCTTTCACAGTGTCTTTGTAGCACTCGCATGGTCAACCTCGAGGTCTCTTCCCAGACTCCAGTACACAATAAAGCAACTAGTGAGGCATACGGTGGTCATCCATTCTGATGACGTATCCCACCCACCACATCTGGGCTCTGATAATCAGAATGCTGGTGGGCTCTGCGAGATCCAAGACCTCCAGGTTGGAGACATGGTCTTGCCAACAAAGGCCAAGGATGGAGCAGAGAGTGTGCATGTGAAATTTCTCCAGTTACTTAATGTGCCTTCAGAACAGAGTCCAGGACTCACATCCATATAGGAGAGAAGGGATAACCACAGCTCTGTAGACTTTCAGCATTGTGCAGATACGGATGTTGTATTGATTAGTACCCCAGTGCCTGGCTGGCCTTGTTCATCCTGGGGTCCTGCTTATCCAAAGACCCATTGCTTGAGATGATGCTTCTCAAGTATTTGAAGCTGTTTACATTTGTCAGCTGGGTGTCATCAACAGTGATTTTTGATTCTATGGGGTTGGTATCTGGCACAGACTGTTAAAGTACTTCATTCTTGTTCAGGCTGATAGGCTGAAGAACATAGCAGCATCTGAGAATTTGTTCAGCATCAACTGTAGATCACTGTCTTTGTGCACCAGGAGTGCACAGTCATCAGCAAAGAGGGTTTCTTGGATGACTGTATGGAGGAACTTAGTCCATTCGTTCAAGCAAACAGCACATGACAACATGCAAGCGAAGAACAGATTGAACAAACTACTCTACCAAATTCTACCAAAAAAACACAACTCTACCAGAAAAAAAAAAAAAACCTCCACCAAAGGACAATTCACCACTTCATGTGACAGCATGTTCCACTGGTGTTAGCTCATATAGTGAGGAACTTCCTCCTGATATCTAGCCTGAACCTCTTTCTTTGTAATTTTAATCTATGGCTTCTGGTTCTACTCTCTGGAGCAATCAAGAATAAGCCCACTCCCTCTGCTGTGTAACAAACTTTGACATGTTTGAAGACCGTTATTCTAGAAGGCATCATCACCTCTAGAACACATGATTTCTCTTTAAGGTTAGTAATTCTTGAGGAAAGGGGGAAGAAGCCCATGTAATTCTAGTTTTTAAAAAATGATTTTCAGGAAGGATATGGAAAATGATATGCCAGCTATTTTGAAGTTCAATCTGGACAAAAATGCAGAAAGTATTATTAAAGAAGAAATAATCCAAGCTGTAGAATGACAAATATTTCTGGAAAAAGAGCCAACATAGCTTCTGCAAAGGTAAGTTTTCTCCAGCTTAGTTTCTGAAGTTCTTGGGGATGTATCAACAAGCATGTAGAGAAGATGATTGAATAGATATTGTATCTTGGGATTTTAAAAGGTCCTTAAACAAAGACTTCTGGATAAACGCAGAAGCCAAGTGATGAAAATATGGATGCTGTTATAGATTGGCAGCTGATTAAAGAAGAGGAAATAGAGACTAGAAATACATTAATAACATTCAAGTTGCAGAAACTTTCAAATTGGTGTCTCTCAAGGATCACTCATCGGACTTAGGAGTCAGAATTCACCACTTGTGTATTAATGTCCTGGAATTTGGAGAAGTAAAATTAAAAAGAATTTGCAAAGCGATCCAAAGAGATAAACAGCACATGCACTTTACCATGCAAAGTGGTTCACACTGGCGCACGCGCACGCACACACACACACAAATCCAGGTTTTACATGTAGTTTAATAAGGTCTGAACTTCAGTAAGGGGCATTCGTAAAGGAATCATTGTCACACACGCATCACCCATAAAAAAGGGGTGTGTCCTCAGTCACATAATCCTGGCTCCCCTCTTGGTTTGCTTGTTGTTGCTGTTGTTTGACACAACCCTGGCTGATGCCCCTGCTTCCATGTTTGTGAACTTCCCAGATGCATCTGGTTGACCACAGCATGAGATCCAGTGCTGGACTTGCCTCCACATTTGTAGAGAGTCAGGGAGATGACCTTGAGGGAATTAGGCAAGAACTGTTTTAGAAGCAAAGAGGGCCGAAACATTCTTTAAGCCCTGGGAAACAAGATAGTCTTCAGAAGAGACTGATTCAGGATCCTTCCTGATTCACTGGGATATAAGAGGGAGGGAAAGCACAATCAGGCTTGTAAGGTCCTGTTACTATAGCCTAACTCAATAAAGTAGAATTTTATTCTTCTGGTGGAGTCTGTTTCCTGACCTTGTCTACCTCAAAGGACTGACCACATTCTTCTTATGATCTTAGGATATTTTGCATCCAGACTACCACTCTGAACTTGTCTCTGAAAACCATGCACGTTGCATGTGTACTTAAAATAAATGTATGTATAGCAAAGTGTATGTGTAAGAATGCAGTCATCTGAAAAACGGTGTGGTCAGATATCTGAAAAGATCTTAGTTACATCTTCTTGGAGCAGCAATCTCAATCTGAACTGAAAAAGATTGATAGGGTTTAGAGTTCAACAGTTATGAATATGTTTAATTTTAAAAATGTTGGTGGTAAGGATTCCAGGCAGACTGTAACAAAGGGAGCGAGAGATCTGAACGTGTGGAATTTTACAACAGCACTAATGAAGTTTCATGTTCCACACCCAAGTAAATGAGTTATAGTGCTATTTATTTTCAAAATCAGATTTCTTATACCCACACACACTCTTCTTCTAGTGTTGCCAACTATGTTAAATTGTATTTATTATTCTCTTGAATATTCTACTCCAAAATCAGTCTTTCCTTCCTGCTTGCTAAACTTAACTTCATAAGACAGATAGCATTGTGACATCAAATGTTTGTTTTAGAGACCAGTCTAGAATTCCTTGATTTTATTGTCATGGTACACTGTCTACTGTAGCTTTTATTGTATCTGTGTTTTATTGACACAAAGCGACCTGCAGAGGAAGTGCTGAAAGGCCATCTGTCAGGGATGCTGGAGTCATGAATTATTGCCCTGGGCAAGGAGTTCAACTACATGATCTTCCAGGTCCCTTCCAAGCCTACATTCTATGTCTCCATGAAACCAAATTGATGCTACACGGCCTTCGGTCTGCAACTTTTTCACATGAAGCCTGCTGGTATTTCTATACAGAAAGTTGCAATCTTGAAAAC